TTAAATATTCTTTTATGCTCTTTGTAAATCTTGTTTTACAATTTGTATTATAGAGTCAATTAAGAAATTTTTGTTGTTAATTTTATTGCTTATTCACATTTAAATTCGTGAAGAGAAAAATTAATTAAGTTTCTAAATTTTTGTAAAAAATATTTCAACAGTTTATTCTAATTATTAAATTCTTTAAAAATTTTCTTAACAATTCAAAAAAAAAATCATATTTATGTTAATTAATAATTAATTCAAGAACCAATGCCATTTATTAACTATCACATGAATAATTTTACATGATTGAATTCATAGACCAATACAAGAGTACAAAAATATAAATTACATTCTCTAGTGTCAAGAATATTCTAAGGCTAATAATGGTTATTCTCATTTTTATTATTCTAAAGGTAAAATTACATTTTTTCTCAGAAAAGTCCCATTTAATTAACTTTTATTTTAAACTACATATTTAGGAAAAACTATACTAAAATGCTTAATGTCTTTTTAAACCCACAGATCAATAGTTAAAAAATCAACTACTTATACTTGACTTCTTTAAAATGCTTAAACACAAAACAATCTCCTTTTTAGAAATGTATGGAAGAATTTATATTGTATTCATGAGTCTAGTATAAATTTTCTAAGGTGCATTTTCATTCCATTACTGTTAATTACTTTTTCCAAGGTGTATACAATAACAAAAAAAAAATAACAGAGTTTTTCTCAATAGAAAAACTTTTACTTAATAAATTTCAAAATGTAAACAAAAAACCAAATAAGTAAAAAAAAAAAAAATTTGAAAAATGCGAAAATCTTTTCAAATGAGATTTTTAATATTTAAGCACACATACTGGTGTACACAGGTGCATAATATGCATTCATTCTATTTTGTATACATGCAGGCATACAATATGCATATATAAATACAAATACATAACGTATTGTACATAAATATGCAGAAAAACTGAAGAAATTCAAATAAAATTTCGAGGATTAAAAATGCATTTTTAAACAACAGATAGAATTAAGAACACGAAAACGTGTTTTAATTATAAATGACCCACCTATATTTTAGTTCCCATTTTATATAGAGAAGCGTAAGTTTATTTAGTTTATTTCTCTAAATTATTTAAATTACTCTTTGGTATAGCTAAAATAAAATGGAAACTATGTCCTATTTTACATAAGATATTGCCTTAACTTGGAATATACATTGATCTGAACATACAAATAGATGGAACTGTATACTACAAAATTTACTCTTATCCAAAAATAATCTTTACAAAATTATTTTTATTTTAACGCAGTTCAATGCAATTTAATAAAGTGACACAAGCCTGGTTATCACTACCGAAGGATCACAAGACTGTCATAAAACACACTATCTTTAACATCTCATCCAACCCCATACACTTGCTCTGCCCCACGTGGCCCGTGCAGTCCGACCTAGAACCGGAAACTCTCAGCGATAGTGAAAATAGTTTCCCTCTTATTAATTCCCCGACAGCTGTGGCACGTCATACTGAAAGGCAACCCCAGACTAGCCGCATGCCAGGCAAAGTATTGAAGGGCAATCCTAGAACAGCCGACCCGAACAGCCATTGTCCTGTGCAGATTGCCTTTAGACCGACAATGGTCTCCATCTGATTTCTCTTACTCTTACTGATAGGTTTTTGAGAAGCTGAAAATGTGATAGTTTTACATACTCTTGTGTTAGAAGATAAAAACCATGTACCAGAAATAACTTAGCCATAAAGATAACAATTTGGCGCCCCTGATATACAGTCAGTATTATAGTTTTGTGCATAGAATTATTGTGATTAAAAATCATATTTTAGAACTGTTGATTATATTTTTTAAAATTATATTTTATTAAGGAAAATTTTAAAATTTAAAACACAAAAAGATTAATTTTTATAAGTAAAGCTTTTTATAAATTTGCGCCAAATTTTTAAAGGTTATGGTCCTGAAAATATTTTGAATAATTATATGTGTGTGTATATTATGTGCACAAGAAATTCGCTTTTGCCACAAAAAAAAAGCATTTTGAAATATAAAATTTTGCGCCATCTGAAAAAGCTTAATTATTTTTATAAAACAGTTACATTTTTCTTTTTTGCCTCAAAATATTTTTTTGCAAACTTGATAGCTTTTTTTTTTGTTTCGAATTGAAAATGTTTAAGGCCCTTTACAAAAAAAAACAGAAATAATTAGAAATAATTATAATTTTTTGGATTACTGTAAGAAATTTACATTAAGGATTTCAAAGAAATCGGACTGAATATTATAAAGAAGCAGGAAATTTTAATTAGAATCAAAAATCACTCAATGTTGGTGTATAGTTCATTAACATAGCGCTTTAATAAACATGTTGGAGCGAATTCAGCATACAATAATTGATGAAAACACTTAATTTCCTTATAAGAAAATATTTGAATACTAAGTTGATAAACATTGTTTATTGTTTAAGGTCTTAGATCTTTATTCAACTGAATTTTATTAAAAATAAAAATTATTAAATAAAAGCAAACATTATTTGCAAATTCTTTTAAAAATAAACTGTTTAAATAATTTCAATTTATTAAAAAAATATTAATAAAATTGCTTTGTTAAATCTTAAGTTCGTTTCCTTATATATACAATATTAAAATGACAAAGCTTTTTTTCACAGAACGAAGATGTACATAAGCACATACCTACATATAAAAGGTACATAATCAACTTTAATATCAAAATACCTTTAAATGTCAAAAAATAGACATCTGTGTGTTAGGCATGCGTTCTGTTTTTTGTATTTTTCTTTTCTTGTTATAAATTTCACCAATATTGTACTAATTTTCTTTAACTTTTAGAATAAATTCACATACATTCATATACAAAATTTAAGTTTGACTTATATATACTTAAATATTTAATAATATAACAGTATAGATTTAACTAAATGTAAATGTATGTGCAATTGTATACAATATATAATTGAAAATTATATGCTTAGTGGATAACTTAAAAATAGCATTTACTTGAATTTATATATAGTATGCACAATAAAAATAAAATTAATCGCATAAGCACATTCGTGCAAACTATATTTACATACATCCATATACGTATGTATGTACGTATACAAAATAAATAATAAACAAGAACAACTTAATTGAATCTTAATTAAATTTGTTAGCATGTTGCAGGTGTAGTGTTGTGACGTATGAAAAAAAAAACTAAATATATGTATAAGCATATGTATATGCAAATATACAATGTCCGAGAATTTTTTTATGTTCAAATTCATTAAAAAATTTTATGAAAATATTTTGAATTATTTCATTTTTTACTACTTTTCTGACACATCTTTTTAAAACGTTATTTATTTATTTATTTTTTTTTAATGGGGAGCTAATTTTTGTTTTGACCTTTCGGATAAGCCTTTACGATATTGAAATTTTTTAGAAATAAGTGCTTAGTAATTAATTATCAATTATTTGTTGATGTTGCTATTCGATAATGTGAAAATTTATTATGATATTATGAGAGAATATACGTTATACTATACTAATATGGAGGAGTGTTTTCAAAGCCTTAACACAACTTGCAATTTTGAAGTATTTATAACATTAAGAACAAAATTTAATCAAAATTATTTTCAATTATCTAAATATCAATACGCACCTCCATTATTCCTTCTAATCCATTAAGGCAAACATTAATCTCATCGTTTAATACAATTTTTCACAAGAACACATAATCTAATCCAACCGCGTCTGATCAAAGGAAGAATAGCAGCATTAAAATGCTCTGATTTCATATCCTGCTATATGAACTGTCACGAGCCTTACACGGGTACATATCTAAGTATAATTTTATGCAAAATATATAATTTTTTACGCAAATAGAATTTTAGCGCAATAACATTAATTCACTGTTATATAATAGTGTTACAACTGCTCTTAAATGGAACACAGCAAAGAATCAATCAACAATTCGACGATCGCTCAGATTTATTAAAATGTTTTTATATGATATTTCATATTTATGTGCACATACCTTACGGAATTTGACTGTTAGCCCTTAAGTTAATTCTATTGAAAATTGCTTTTGAATTTCTACTCATTAAATAAAATGGATCAAAAATAAGCTGGCAATTGTTTTTATTCCAAAGTAAAAGGAAATGTTATAGTACCATGCAACATAAGTTTTCTGAAGAATTTTCCTTAAAAAGAGCCTTACATGAATGGATTTGACAATGTTCTATAATCATAAAGATATTATACTTAACTATTAGAAGAAAAAAATTTAATCTTTTGTTAAAAACTTTCATACAAATACAACAAATTCCAATTGGACGCTACATTATAACGTAACATTTTTTATATAAGTATACTTATAATTCGAAGTTAAAATTATATTAGATTTAGTTCATCAAATCCAAGTTCCAATACAAAATTATGTTGTAATTAGATATAAATCAAAATTTTCATTTCAAAATTCAACAATTTTCAGACCAAACATTACCAATTCTCAAAAATTTGTTCAAGAAAACCAAAATCACTTTATTTATATATCAAATATGTTATAAAAGTGAATTTTTTTTTTGCAATCATCATTATTTATAAAAATTTATGTTCAATACACATATGTATACCTATATACATGTATGTATTTTACATTATTGTAAATTATTCATAAAGTACATATTTTAAGAAAATTTTCAATAAAATATTTTTCATAATAAATTTTTAATATAACATAAGCACAAATGTACATTTTTGTACTAATGTATTATGTATGTACAATGTATATATAAATATATAAGTATGCACAACAAATGTTATTATTACAAGAATGTAATTTAAATTATAACATCAGTATAATGACGTGATTCAATATTTTATAAATAACATAACAGTACATATATGTACATAGGTATACCGTATGAATGTACATACATATATTTACATAAAATATAGGGTACTTATACAATTAAATATCAAAAAATTATTGTTTATACTTACCAAAAATTATTTTTTATTACAAAATATTATTTTACATATATGAACACATATGTATGTATGTATATATCGATAAGTAGTTATATTATTATAGTTTTGTCACTGTGTAACAAACAGCCTGTTGTTTGTTTTATATTTTTTTTTTTAATTATTATTTATGTATTTATATATATATAGCTATTATTGAGGTGATGGATAAATTATTATTGAATAATAAAATAATTATGTATTACTTATCAATTTTTTTTTGTTGTTGTTTTTTTGATATCAATAAAAATTTAATATATATAGTTCTAGACTCGCTAGACTCTAGAGTGTTTACAAAAAAACAAAAAAATAGAAAATTTTAATTTTAGGCTTATATTTTGTTTTTTTTTTTTTATTTTTTATTGTTATTAGTGTTTGTTATTACGAATTTTCAAAATTTAATAATGGATTTTCACTTTTTTTCTTTCTAAACGATCCCACACATGTTTTATTTTAAGAATATTCAAAAAAATTTTTTTTATTTATAATTTTTTTTTTATACTTCTTTTACTTTTATTTTTCTAAACGCTTCTTTAAAAAATTATTTATGAAAATAAATTAAATAAATCCTAATTTCGTTTTTTTATTTGATATTTTTTATATATATGTTGCATGTATATATGTATATGTATATTTTAGTAGATGGTAGGTAGGTTGATATATAGGGTATATATATACATATGTATGTATGTTATACACCTCTATTTATATTCATGTAAGCATATATTTGAAATTTTCACAACCGTTCAAGGTTAGTATAATTTTTTTTTTTTTGTATATTCTGTTTTCTATTTTATTATATAGTTTCTTTGTATTTATTTATTTAAGTTCATTTAATATGTTTTTTTTTTGCAAAAAAAAATTAGTATATTTTATGTTATTATCAACTGATATAATAAAAATATATTTATGTGTGTATGGTATGTAGGAAATTTAAATAAAAAGAAAAATATTTATTTGAAAAATCTATTAGGGGAGAGAGAATCTTTTTCATTACTAAATTTGCTGAGAATTTTCATTCTCTTTTTGCAATTTCAATTTTAATTTTGTTTTTTTCAATTTGTGATGTGCCTTTATATCATTTATATTTATTTACTTTTAATATACTTAAAAATCTATTAGGTACATACATATATATATAAACAAAAAAAAATATTTCTTATCAACATTTGACATAAAAGGTTACCAATATTGTATTACACTTAATATTATAATATAGAATTGTAGAACAAAATAAGTAAATTTTAAATTTTTAAAATTTTAAATATTTTTTTTTTTTTGATTTTTGATTAAAAATTTGAAATTTTATTAAATTATTTAATATTTAATAATTTGTATATCATAGACATTTTTATTTATACCACATATTAATATAATAATTTTAAAAATATAGTTAACACAATATTTAATTTATTCTACTATAATATATTTATTAGGTAGCTACTTGTATATAGAAAATTTTCGTTGACAATATTATTTTACAGTTAACTAGATTATATTTAATATACACATAAAATATACTTACATATTATGTATATAATCAAATGTATATATATATATATACATACGTATGTATGTAGATAGAATTTTCAAATATAGATTTTACAAAAAAAAATTTTTTCTCACTTATAGAACAATTTAATTATATTTTTTTTTTCGAACAAAATTTTAGTATAATAAAATAAAATATTTTTTTAAATTATATTTATATTTTTTGATAAAATAATTAATTTAATTTTAAAAATATTTAGAAAAAAATTATATTGTATGTAGCCACAAAATATATTTTATTTTCTCTCTTTTTTTTCTTCTTTTTAGTATACAAACTGTTATATTTAGGTATTTCGTATAATTTTTTATTTTACATAGGTTTTTACTTAAATTTTTATACGAAAAAAAAATTATAATTCCAAAATTTCTTTCTGAAATTTCTAACTTTTATAATTCTATGAAAGCATAGCAGAAAAAAACAAAACAATAATAAAAATTTTTTTTTCTTTTTAAAATTCACAAAATTTACACTTATTTTTTGGTCAATATTTTAGAAAATTTTTCATTTTTGAGTTTAGTATAGATAACACACTAAATAAATACTTAGCTACTTTCATTATTTTCATATTATTATATTGTTTTTATAAATGACTTAAATAAACATTGACACAATTTTTTTTTTATACACACATTTTTATATTTTATTTTGAATATTATTTTATTTTATTTTAATTTTTTTTGTTTTTTTTTGTCAGTGAAAATGTAATCAGAGATAGCAAATAAAATAAAAAAATAATAATAATACTTTTATATTAAAAAGTAAATAAACTGTACAGAGAGAGAAGAGCTTTTTAATATGTAATTTGACAGCTGCCACAAATTAATATTATACACAAATTAAATTTACAATATACATATACATATATTTTTATATACAATGTATTTAGGCGTATGTATACTAAATGTAAATATATTTAATTTTTCATTTATTATATACCTTAATATATATACACGCATAGAAATGTATATATATATATATCATATATATTAAATGATTCTAAATTGCAACCTTTATATTAGATATACACATATATTTTTTGTAGTGTGTAGGGTTTTGTATTTTGTTGTTTTTTTTTTCTCGTTCTTCTTTTTTACTTTTGACAATTTTCAATATTAAATTTTATATGATTGTATTTGTATATATGCATATATCAATGATATATATACATTAGTTCTTAAATATCATCCGCCCGCTTATCAATAATAATAAGAAGAAAATTTAATAAGAAGAATAAAAATTTTTTTTTGTTATTATTACCGTTGATTAATTGTAATACAAACACAGTCACATTTTCGTTTAAATTCAATATTATTGTTATAAACGCTTATTATTGAATTAACTTGAATAAAATAAAGAATATTTTTGTATATATCGAAAAGTATGTAAGAATAAAAAATTATTAAGAATTTTTTTTTTATTTATAAAAAGTCAAAAATTATACGTTCACACTTAGTATACAAGTTCATACATCAACACAAATATATTCGTATAGGTTATATTTGTTATATTGTCATATTTTTTATATACATACACAATAAAGCAGAAGCGTTTTTAAAAAAAAGCTTTTCAAAAAAAAAAAAAAACACAGAAATGTTTCAAAAAATTCAAAAAAAAAAAAACACAAAAGTTTTTCACGTTCAAAAACAAAAATCGAATATTTTCCACACGGCGAATCTCTTCAAAAAAAAAAAAATAAATAAATAAATTAAAAGAAGAATAACAAAAAATTAAAACAACAATATTTTTTTTCTACTTTAGCGACACTACTATCTATAACGTTCAAGTACATTATTTCAACTGAAGAAAATTTATTTTATCTTCAAAGTTGCCAGCTACAGTTATTTTTATTTACATACCTACATAATAATATTTTTGTTGAAAATTTTATACAAATGAAAACCTGGCTACATTTTTATTTTTATTTTTTGTTTGGCATCATTTTATTATTTTCTTTTTTTTTAAATGTACACGAATTGAATATTACAGACAAACTAACACGTATAAAATTTTAAGCATATTTTATTATTATTATTATTGGTATTTTTCATTTGTATGTTAAAATGTTTTATAGTTTTACATATTATTATAAAGTGAAAGAAGATTCGAAAAAAACACAACACAACAAAACACAATAATAATAAAAAAAATTAAAAAATAAAATGTAAGAAAAAAAATAAGGAAAAATGTAAACAAAAATTTCCTCTTCCTCTTCATTTTCTTCTTTTGTCTATCAGAAAAACAAAAACAAAAATAAAATAAAAATAAAATAGTTAATTGAGGTTAGTTTAATTGAAATTTCAAATACTCCAAATATGAGTATGTGTGTATGTTTATTTGATATCATGTATAGTTTAGTTATTCGCCGCTTGCTTATAGCGCTTATTACGATTTTTTTTTTTTGTATTGTATGGCACATCCAGTATCCATTCATGTTTTGCATTCACAATATATTATATTGAGATTTGCATTGAGTAAATGCAAACGGTGTATTCTTATTTAAATCTGTATTATTCAGTTATATATTAAATATACATACATGTATACAAACATACTTATAAAAGAAAATGTAAATTACGATATTAAACTTTTTTGTACTTATTTTTATTTGGATTTTTTTTTAATATCATTATTATCATCATTATAGAATTTAAAATGCATTCAATTACACACACACATATGTATACGCAAACTTAAGCATATATAAAACATTTTATTATAATTGAACAAAAATCCCACGTGTTTTTTACTTTTTTTTTCCTTTTGCTTTTTGCTTTTTGCTTTTGTTTTCTTGTACGTATAACGCATACATACTTATTATCATTAGAGATATAATGATTATAGTGATAGCATGCCATTTAAATATGTATTTGCATATGTTTATAAATATAATATTTATTGTATGAAAGGTAAAAATGTTGATATACATTTTGTTTTGTTTGTTATCAATATAAGTAGATTATGTATATGCAACAATGTTATTAAGCTGCTTGTGTATTATGAATTAAATAAATGCAATAAAAGATTTCCGTTTCGGAAGTACAAACATAATATTATTGTATACAAATGTGAGTATGTACATTATGTGTCAATGGATATGAAAATGAGTTGTAAATTCTAAAAAAAAAAAAAAAAAAGAGAAAAATTTATGCATCGTAATTGAATGGAAAAATAAATTTTTATTTTTTTGTCAATAACTTTCTTTTTAAAGCCATAAAGATTTCATTCATAATGACATCAATTTATTATTAGATACTAAGTAGCTATGTATATGAGAATTTGAAGAGACAAAACAACATACATACAGATGTATGTTCGTATCTCACCTTGTCAAAAGCTGTTGTGGAAATTTCCTATGATTGATTTTACATTTTCACAAGGTTAACAAGCGCTTTACATTTTAATATTTGTTCACAAATTGAAGAAGTTTCGAATTGTTATCGAACTTTTAATTAAAATGTTCCTAGCGTGCATTGTGTTCCTAACTGCATTGGGTACTTACATACATACATTCATGCATTTACATATCCATATATAAATGTTAGCGTATACGTATTGTTGTTACGAATTAATGTCCGCTTAATATTCCAGATTATTGTGCGAAAAACATAAAAGTCGCACTATATCCGAAAATTTGGAGTTCTATTTTCATATAAGTACATACGAGTATAAGTATATGGGTGTGGCAAAAAGGAAAAATTGCTAAAGTTCACTAGTGCTTATTTTCATGAGGGCAAAAATAAAAATTTGCATTATTTTATATTCTGTTTTTTATTTTTTATTTTTCTGAATTGATAACAGGACCAGAGTTCAAAAACTGTTATTCGCATTGTGAAGTTTATTTCTACTTATTATTGTAATTTATGACATTGATTTTTATATAATTACAAGTAAAAAGACTTTTGCCTATTTTCGTAATTTTCTTTTCTTGTGGTTATTAAAAAACTAACACCGCTTTTTCCAAATTGTTTCGTACAAGTTCTACGTTAGACATACGATAAAATTTATTTAGGCTTTTATTTCATATTTGGATTGTTAGTTATGTTAACTTGAAGTAATTTTTGTTTATTATTCCTGGAGCATGTAAGAGGACTGTGAACAAAATTTAATTTTGAAATAAATACGTAAACTAAGTTTAGCTATATGGGCTAATTATGTTGTAAAATAGAAATTTATATTTTGGCTGTTTCCATTTTAGCCATTACCAGATACTTGTAAATCTTTCATATTCTGGTTTATTATTCTGCATATGGAAATTTATTGATAACCAAAATTTAACCATTAGGAAAAGTTGTAGTAACTTAATCAAAATAAATGATCAGTACACCAAATTTTTTTCGAGCATATAGGTTTGAACTCGGACATTGACAATATTAATTATAGCATAGTTATTTTTCGCTAAATTTGATTATTTTTTGTTGTCACAAAATATTTGATAATAATTCCCTAAAATTCGGTAAATTGATATAAATTTGGTATTTAATTTGATATAAGCTTTAATTCTTAGTAAATTCGACAGTACTAATAAATAAATTTAAAGTTCGATTTAAATTTATTAAAAAAATCAATATTTACTTTTAATAGGTATGAATGAAAACTAATTTACATGTAGTGTAAACATATACAATATTCTTATGAGTAGAATAAAATTACAATTTAAATACAATTTTTTAAATTATTTGATCATTTTGAATTTAAAAATAGTTTTTCGGTTTCCTATTATATTCGGTGTGTCATTTCACTTTTTAATATATATATATATAATTTTGTAAAAAAAAATATTCCAGTGTTAATTATTTTTTTATTAGTATGTATTTATTATATGAGTTGATTGACTGGAAAATAAATAAAAAAAAAAAATTTACAATTTCATTCGCTGATTCATTAAAATTTTTTTTTTGGGTTTTAATTTTAGTAAAATTCAGTAAAAATTGGACTTTAAAATTTTTATTTTACTTTGATTCTGTAAAAATTTTCAAACAATGCATACTTACAGGCGTTTTTTTTTAATATTAGTAATTAATTTATAATAAATTCAATTCAAAAGATTTTAAAATTTTTTAATTTTCTTTAAAATTTTTATAATATTCAAAAATTTCCTCTTCAAAATTATCAATTTTAAATAAAATTGTATTTAATAAAAAATTTTATTCAAATGCATTCGTCATGAATTCGTTTCGGTTTTAGTTTTATAATCTTATAATAATTAAGTAAAAAAATATATAATGATTTCCGTATATGCATAAATTAATTCAGGAAATTTTTGTTTATATAAATTGCATGCCAAAGTATCAATATAAAAATTTTTAAAATTATTGAAATAATATAGGTAATTACATTATATAGCAAATTTAAAATTCATAAACGAATAAATGAATCTAATTGCATATTTACAATGTGTTTATCATATAGATGCAAATGCACATACTTATGTACACATTTTACATGCATTTGACATGCATCTATTGTAATTTAACAGCAAAATGCTATAAAAATACAATTGATATATCGTAAAAAAATTTTTAACTTTTAAAATTTGTACTTGATCAGTCAGTATATAGTTTGCCAGTAAATTGTCATTTTATTTTACTTAATAATTATTTATAATCAATACGTGTTTAGCTTATTAAAATATTAAAAAAAAAAAAACAATCTATAAATAATAGATTGTAAAATGACTTTGTTTTTTCTTTTTGTAATTATTTTTTTTATTTAGAGTCACTTAAAAATCGTATAGTATTAGAAAAAAAAATGTGATTTCATCCGTTATTAAACTGTAATTTACTTACAATATCTATAAAAATATAAAGTAAATAATGTGATCATGCTTTGCAATTTGCGATGTTTTAAAACAAACAAGAATAGAAGTCAATTAATCTGATTAAATAAATTTTACAATATTTAAAACAATATTAAAAAAATAAAATGGGTAACATTAAATTTGTTTGTATTGGTTTTTGTGCTACATCATGCTGTGTTCTTAGAGCATGAAATTGAGATTGAACAATAATATCATTGGATCGAAGAATTTCAAAATCGAATTTTATTTGGTGAGAAAAATTAGATTTGTTCTTTTTTTTTATTTGGACTTGTAAAAAAAAAGATGCAAAATCAAAGCGCCGTTTATTTACCTTGAATGATTATAAAATTAATATATTGATAAACAAACAAAATATTTTTTTTTATTGGGTGTTTTCCTCACAATGCAGTCTTAATTATCGATTTCGAGAACTGTTTACCGAATATAGTCACGAATAACACAAACAACCTAAGTGTATGGTTCATATGCCAAAATAAATCAGGGACTTCACGTTATTCTTCAAGAAACCAAGCCAATTGACAAGACCATTTCTCAAAATTAATTTATCGTACTTTAATAACTTTAAATTGATTATAGTACTTGCAGTATAATTTACGTAACGTCATTATGTTGAAAACGTACTCTAATGTTTTCCGTTCATATAACAAGAATTTTAGCTTAATTTTTTCTAATGAGATAAACCAATGGCAGATTTTTCAAGTATAACGTCATTTGCGGCAATTTTCTTTACTAGCAAATTCATTATTTAAGGAGAAAAATAAGTTTTTTTTTCCACTAAACACAATTGTGACAAAATAATGTTTATAAGCTGCGCGAATCGCCGACTGTTTACAATTTTTAAATAGCATATTTCGGCAATATATGTAATAGCGGTGTTCAAGAATGAGTCTACATACGAAAAGTTTTCTGAATAAACTGAAATGTCAAAATAGGAGTTTGACATTTACGTCTTTTGAAAGTTTCATTATGCTTGATAAACTCTGTATTAAAGATTTTCAAAATTATAATGAAACTACAGACTATTTATTATATAATCATTCATGTGTACCTCACAAAATGAGATGGGTTTACGTCTGTGACTTGACATGAGAATTGAAAAAAAAAAATAGGAAAACAAAAGGAAAAGACAACGTAATAAATTGGCTATTTTAAATTATAAATGATGACAAAATTACAACTGAAATAATAGAGATAAGAAAACTAATTAAAAATGTCAGTTAGAATGTCAAAATTATGAGTAGAAAATTAGAATAAACTTAATTTAATTTAGATTTGAGTAAGATTTCTAAATTCTATCTGTTCATCTACATAAAGAATAATCAAATTAATTTTTAAAAAAACAATTACACTTGAAAATTATGTTATTTATGTATTTTGCCACGTAAGAGAACAACAATTTATAATTTCAAATATAATGAATGTATAGGCACATCAATGCATATGTAAAAACTAAGAAAAGCAGTTAAATATGAGGGCGTGTAAGAAGTGTTAAGTTCAATTTTAACAACAAAGTACAGAAAAAATTAAAAACCTTTTATTATAGAACTACCATAAAACACACCCTGTAAATGATCCCATTTGTATTATTTGGTCACAAAGGAATTGCAAAAAAAAGAAGAATTTCAAAAAATAAAACACAAAACAGTCACACAAAAAAAATACACGAAAAGCTCAAAAGAAACACAAACACATTGAACTTTTTATAACAGTTGAGATTTGAGTTTCGTATACTCTCGAATATTATAAAGTTGAGCAAGAAACAATAATAATAAAGATAATATATATGTATATATATGTATATATAAAAGAAAAGCAAACACAAAATAAGATTCACAAATAAATTAACAACAAAGACATGATGAAAATGATGCAAAGCATGGTTAAATAAGAATTAGCAAAATTTCAATTAAATAGAAGAATGAGGAAATGTTACGAGGCGCGGAGCGGCGGATAGACTGCAAACAAAAAAGTACAATTGAAAATCAAAATTATGTAAATAGAGGTAAGTTTCAATAGTTTGGGGAATTCCACTAAATTGTTTATTATGTAGAGATTCCTCAATTTCAAACTTATAGTAAAACTAAATTACTGTACTATTCAGCAAAAATCATAAGCTGAATTGTGTATTAATCTCGTATTACTGGAATTTTTTTTCATATATAGATTTACTAAGTTTTACTAAGTTTTTTACACCATTGTAAAATTAAATTCCTCTAACTCCGACGGCGATTACAACTGATTGCAATTGGAAAACTTTACAACTTTATACATATGAGGTTTTTTTTGAGTTAGAACGGTTACACAAGTTCTAATCACAATTTTAGTGCACAACTTATATTTATATTCTATTACATTAACAACATTCTTTATACATAAGTAAGTATGCAATTCTTACATACAACATTTTGAGAACACCATCAATGAAAATTGAAACTTTAAAATTATAGAGTCCTATATTATAGATTATTCTTCATTAGATTAAAGACAAAATTACAAGGCCAAATTTCTTCTTTTTAGGCCTCAGAAACAGGCCAAGGTCTCTAGCATTTACATTGGCTAGTACGCTGAAAAAAGCAGGACCGAAAAAATTTCTGCTTTGGGTTCGCCAACGCCGAACACGAGTACAGCAGGTAGGCCGCCGTTTCGACAGTGTCCAGTTAAAACTCCTATCACCGCGAAAATGTCCTCCCACCGGAGAGATATCAGATCCTTCTTTTTAAATAAAGCCTGACAATTCAAATTAAGTCTATCAATTGTCAACTATATCAAGCGTAAGCTTGACGCCACAAACCTTTTAATTAATAATACCTTTTATGGGATTGCCATTGAATTTAAATTGTTTGCAAAACGAAAAAAGAATTGAAAAACCTGTTTTTTGATTTTTTTGATACACTATGTGCCAAAAAGGACTTCTAAATATCGATACATAATAAAAGAACATTTCAAAAATGCTTTGTAACATCTTATCAACAATAATGTTTAATTAATAAAAATAATCGATGAAACAAAAATTTCCTTAATTAGCCTAAAATCGCTGCAACGCACGGCTTATAAGCTTAACATTTATATTAATTAGGAAATTTCTTCTAAAAGAATCATGAATTCAAAATGTAATTATGCATGTACACCTTCAAAAAATCGTGATTATTTCAATATATTTACCGAAACTATACAAAATTAATTGTTCTAAGAAATCGTTTCTATTAATCACTTTAGGCTCCTATACTTTTAATATTTAATTTTTGATAAGTTTTTAATATTTTTCCACATACACCTATTTAACACATTCATTATACTCATTGTAAAATACCTACAATGAACTAATGAATTATCGACAAAAATAGAATTTACAAAGAAGTTCAATCACGTTCCTCCTATTTAAAACCAAAAATATAAAAAAAAAAAACAGAAAAAGCAAACAAACAACAGAGCGTTACACGCAAATACTCAACGGATATTGTATAACCGTGTTACCTATAAATTTTTTATTTTCTTTTTTAAATGCATCAAAGTGAAAAAATGTACCTACATACACACATATACCTACAAAAATGTAATACACAATTTTACAAATTTTTTTTTTATTAAACGGCTACCATATATGTACATAAAAAAATAAATTATTCAAAATATGAATTGCAAAATAGTGTTTTCAGAATTTTTCTTAAAATGTATCAATTTTGATACAGTTATACATAGTTATCAATCCAATTTATGCATTTGACACGTTTTTTCAATGACGTTGTGGATGTTTAGGAGATTCGTTGGCAGCACCTGGAGCAACAGTTCAGGATAGCACGTTAGCAACATACGGCCAGGCCCATCGTCTTTTACTCGTCGATCGTACGGCGCCATGAGTTTCAACCATCACATCTTATAGCGCTACAATGGAGGTGATGATTGAGTTGCCACTACTGCACCTAAATAGATTGAAGAAAGGTAGGGCGAAAGTTACCCCGCACAATTTATGGAGACTTCAATGAAGTTGATCCCGTTCTGATTGAGAATATTGCATATTACATATTGAAGGTGAAAATGTTCTGATTGAGAATATTACATATAGTTGAATTACGGGTTCCAAAATCAGTTGAGTTCGAAGATAAATTGCTTTCAATCTAATTTAACCAAATTCAAATTGAATTTAAAAGCTGTTGCATACTGGAATTCACTTAACCTAAAAGGAAATTAGTTTTGAACTGTTAAGTATAAATTTGAACTAAATCAATTGTGTTAACAAAAAAATCTAAAACTGTTTCCGGTAAACTTCAGATCAAACTAATACTTTCTTATGATGCACAATACTATTCATTCATGCATGACAATCATTGAAATCAGTATAATTAAATTTCCTAAACTAAAATATTTCACTACAAAATTATTAACGTAATTTGATACCTTTTAAAAATCTTTAGTTTTGACAACACTGATTCAAGAAGAAAAAAATGAACAATAGCCCATCAAAGGAAAAAATTATGAGAATTTATAAAACCAATATTCAATTTAAAATAATTTTTTTACTCTTCAAATTTAAAACTATACAGTTTAGCGGTATTACACGATTAAAAAACAAAATTTTTTTTTGTTCTCCTACTTATTATAGTGTTTATATTCGACATCATACTTTTGTAACAATTTATACTTTGCTGAATGTGGGGGTGCACTGTGCATTATGGCATATACGAAGACAAAATTAATCATCTTAGTTTAAAAAAACAATGCAAATAAAATACATTTACATAAAATCACTGTTGTATAAGAAAATATGAATAAAATTAAAATTTGCAAAAAAAAAGTATAGCTGTTTATTGCAAACAATATTGAAAAAATCTTGTACAGGGTGAATTAAAAGTTAATGTGAAAAAATTTTTAAAAATAAATTTTACTTTCAGTATTCGAACATCACAATTTTGACTAGTAATAAACAAGATTTAAATGAAACCCGAATTAAACTGGAGATTACAAACTCGGAAACTAGCACCTATCTTAATTAAAACGCATCAACCGTATAACTGCAACAATAGAACTGATTGCAGATAGTTTGAATTTGAGGATATACAACTGAATCTGATGTTTCTTTGAAAAAAAAAGGTTATTAATTTCGATCTCCAATTTATTCGCAATTTCGTGTTTCCCTATAATATTATAAACTCAATAAACTGTTTAATTGTTTATATATAAAAACTGACCAACAACTTAATTTTTTATGATTATCAATTAAATGCACTCTTT